GGGACCCGCCCCAGGCGGCATTGGAGGCATCGACGGCGCTTTGGATAGCGGTGTTAACGCCGTACACGAGGTCGTTGATCTCGTTCCGTAGACCCTGTGAAAGGTAGACCGTCCGTTCCGCTGGCCAGTCGCTGCTGGGCTTGTAGCACCCCCCACCATTAGTGGAAGGACGATAACTCGCAGCCGGCCGTGCCCGTATTGAAGAATACCGAGTACCCAGTCACGTACAAGTCCAGTTCCGCTTTGCCGCGAGCGTCGAGCCCCTCCTGCAGAATCTTGAGATGCGAAGCCTTCATCCGGCCGCGAGCCCGTTATCGCTTACGTCCTCTATCATGGCTCTAGCTTCATTGTCGGCGTTGATGCAGTTCTTCCTGTTCGTAGAGCCCCAATAAAATGTACTGGGAGTAATGACACAGTACCAGACGAGGTCCGAGAACCCGACGTCATTCCCGCCAATTGTGAGTGTGGCGAGTATAGTACCCGCCGCCATCTCCCATGAGTCAATGTAGTTGACCAGCTCGACATCCGTGTCGCCCAAGTAGAACATAGGGCCCGAATAATTTGACAGAGGAGTCATCCAGAAGCTGATATAGTAGGTCGCCATAGTTGCTAGACCCTACACGGCACTCGTTCCCTGTCGTTATGCCAATCCCCATGCCACTAACATAGGAATCACCAAAGTGCGCATACCCCGCCACCTCGACGATCGCGTCCTCCTCCTCGCCATCCTATACGATGTAATCTACCACAGGGAAAGAAGTAGTGGACTAGGGTAGCCAAATTGTCCTCTTTCTCAGCTTGCGAGTCTCCCGAGCAAGTCCCTGAGCAGCTTTCTAGTCAGCTTCCTAGGCAGAAGCCGATGGATATGGAATGGTGCGCCCGCACTTCTTGTTGAAGAAGATGCCCGCTACAATGAAGAGTATGTATAGACCTTTTTTTTTTTCTCTCGCTCAGGTCACTAAAACATATGCCCTCTCTACCAGTACCGTCGTCACAAAGCACTTTTTGGGAGTTTTTATCGGGAGCACATGATCGATTGAAGGTGCCAGTGGGTAAGGCGGTGCAGCCTTTATAACCGTAAGCGATATCTTCGGACCTAATGTGCCTTGTTAGTGCAATTCTTCTATCGGCAATCGTTTTGTGTGTTGGGGATAGCCGCGTACCCCTTTTCGGCCTTCATTTCGTATGGAGTGTGAGGAATTTCGTGCACCAAGATGGTCGCCTTAACACGCTAGGTATAACGAAGGTCCGTAGAACTACAGTGCCGCCGATGTTCAGTCGCTCTTCCCTCCTTGTGTGGCAAAGATGCTGGGGCAGAGGTTCGTAACCTGCGTATCGCCATTTATGTAGGCTGTCCACCCCTTTTTAGCACAGCCATTCGTTCAACGGTTGAGGTATCGCGTGTAACCGTGACCTGATATTCACTCGAGGTTTCATTGAGTACTAAATTGAACGTTTACTTTTAGTATGTGTGTAGTCATGGAATATCCATCTCGGATGATCTAGAACACCCACTGTCTTTCGTACGTCGATATCGATCTTTGATGGTGTCTGAAAAGGAATCCTAGCTTGTTTTGTGAGTAAAATTGCTGTTGTGTATCAGCACATCGACCTTAAGGATAAGACATTCAGTCGCGACGACAGATCCTCTGCGCCATACATGCGTGGGTAACATTTAATACCCCTTGCATCCTACTGTACCTACAACTCTTGGAGGCTCAGCCACCACCAGGCGCTTCCAAGAAATTGGGGGAATGAAAATAATGAATACATTAGGCAAGGGATCAATTTGATGTAGGCAATTCGATTCGTGATTCTAATATCTCTGTTGTAACTAGTTGTCTAGGTAGCCAAGTGTCACGAAGGTAGTATTTTGGCCCCCGAAAAACACAGAGTGTAAGGGCCAACACAGCATGCGTGCGTGCCCCAGGTGCTGTTAGGAGACTACCTACCTAGGTATATACGACCATTCCAGCTTCAGCAAGTTAGGCTTCAACAACATTAAAAGCTCATCTTTAGTTTCCCCCCTCAAGTAGCTTCATCCCACTATACTATGCTACTATTTTTGGAAGGGGGACATTGACCTCGAGCTTTCGTTTTCGCGCGCAAGATGGCGTCTTACAATCTGCCTAACTGGCTAAGAATGTACGTATTTCCAGGAGTCGTAGATTATCATTCACACCATCCGGTCTTCATCAGATAAACTAACTAACTAACCTCGCCATAGCATCCTGCTCATCCTAAGCTGCTTGTCCTTCCTACCCCAGATCCTGATGCTACTGTACTATGTGCTCTTCAACCTAGTGGTCGCTACCGAGCTATTCTCGCTCGCCTTCTTCTTCGTCACCAACCAGATTGATGGCTCCGACTTCTTCGTCCATAATCCGCCGAATGTTGGCGACTGGCTGAATCTAGCCCAGTTCACAGCCGTCTACGTCCTGCGGCTTCTAATGTGAGTATGAGTTTACAAATAACGAAGTAATAGTGACTAACTACCTACATCTACCTCCAGCTTCGTCCTCTTCATGTCATTCTCTCTTCGTGAGAAGCGGCGTCAAAACGCTACCGTAACGGCACTGTGCACATCCTACCTTCTGATCTCCGTTATATCAGTTTTTCTCAATGCTATTTCCCACTCTTCTTCCCCCGGGGAACGCCGCTGGTTCGGCGCCCTCTTCCTCGGCGGCCATACCCTGATCCTCGCACCCTTAATCACAATTCTCGCCGCCGCTACCCTGCCGGTTCAGGCGCATGCTATCCTAGCCCTGCCTCGAGGGTCCAGCACCGGGGCTGTAAGTGTCACGACCCTCGCGGCACAGACTGTCATCTTTGCCGTGCTTGCGGCGACGTGGTGGCCGGGTCGGCTAGTGTTCCCCGAGGATTTTGGCTCGCCGGTCGCGTATTTTGGCTCGTGGTACCAGCTAGTCGGCTTCGTGCCAGTGGACTACGCGGTTTTTGCGCTAGCACAGGCCGTACTGTTTGTGGTGGCAACGCGGCATCGACGGCGTGGGACCAGGAGTGAGGATCTCGCTGATGAGACCGATCCTTTGCTGTTAAGGTGAAAATGAGGAGCGAAGGAAGACCGGGGATTTTTTAATGGATTGCAGGGTAATTTGACAATAACATGACTTAAATTAAGGCGCGGGCCTAGCTACAGCGTGGGGTATAAAGTTATTGATCTATTAAGGTCTCTAAGAGATAAAAGACGACGCATATGAGAGAGAAACATCATTGCCCTCCTCTGCCATTCCATAAACGTAAACTCCACAGCCTCCGAACCCGTTATAACCATTCTAGGAACGTCCATTATTATCAGGCGGATCTATTACCTTTCCTGTGATCCAGCAGAGGAGCTTCACGACAGTGTTCCTATGCTCCAGTGCCTTGCTAACTAACCCCAGTACCACCAGTCCACCTCCGCGCCGTTGAACGTGTAGGGGGAGACATCATCCGGTGCCGCATCGCGAGGTAGATAGGTCTAGCACTGGCCCTGCATGCGCCGCGAGGTCTTCCACGATCGGCCGAGACTTAGTGTCACAAAGTCTGCCGCGATATCGTCCTGCGCAATGCGCACAGCCACGTCTGGCTCGTCGACCATCATGAACGAGCCCGAGGCGCCATCATCTAGATCGTATTCCTCCTAGGTATTGCTGTTATCAGCTTTGCGCGAATAGAAGCGAAACCAATCCCGCAGACTGCTTAGATTCTCGATGGACTAGGTATGGAATGTCACGAATCATGCCGCCGCTGTTTCGGCAGACTGCCCTGAGATGCTACTGTACGCTATTGTAATCATCATGTTAAAAAGGGCTATCTATGGTGGCGGGACACTCTATCTTAACGGTGAATACGGGCACCTCGGGACTGTTAGATGAGGGTTTATTTATGGCCGGGCCCAACGCAGGCTAGCACCCCTGCGTGCCCTGGCGCATCACAACCTCGGTCGCGGTCCTCATTTTCGTCTATAACCGTCAACGCTGCTCTACTGAGTTAGCCGTAGAAAACCCATTCTGCGTTTCGTGTCTTCCTCGCCCTGGCTAGGGCGGCTCTGCCGACTCGGAAGTGAATATGACGTACGCTCCGCCAGGTATTACCTGTCTGCCGCAGTGTTTGTTGCCCCCTCTCTTCACCCCCATTCCCCCGTGATCCCGGATACTACCCCAGTCCTAAATGACTACATTTGCGCCAGGGAACATGAGTATGTATGTATCACCCACGCGATGTTTTCGCTGGAAGGCGCGATAGTAGCGCCCGGGTGGTTCCGCGAAAACGGAGACGCGGTTGCCTGGAGCGAGCTCCCCGAGGCGCTATGGTCTGGAATGAATATTAATAGTAATAGCGTCCTCCTTGGGGAGCTTAACAAGCCCGATAGAGAGAAGCCGTTGATGATGAGGCCCCAACGGAATATGCAGGGTCTGTTATTGTCGCCATTGTATCTTTATCTGGTGCCCCCCCGTGCTGTGATCTGAATGCGATACGGAAGGGTGAGAGAAAGGTGCGGTGCAGTCTTCATCTCGAGCAACAAATGCGGTGCCCGAGGCCTACATGCAGTACCGGTGAGTAAGGTAGACGTGGTTTCGATTATATTTAACTTACGTCCTGTCTCCTTCCCCTACCTAGCCTTACAAAGGACGGGATGTCGGGGCCACCATCCATCGTAGCAAATTAATTAATTCTCAGTACAAGTATATGCGCAGAGGTTAGAAGCAAAAGATAACGATCATAGATAGATAGATAAAGTAATTATGCCATTACTGTGTGTGTAGTAAATAAACCCGTCCTTTCACTAGGTAGAACAAGCACGTACCAAGGTATGTATACGTACTGTCTACCAGTTTCATTCATGTATTGATCTTATTCTCCTCCTCATTCATGACGAACACAGATCTTCACCCCTAGTTATATAAGTAAAGAAAGAACACATATGACAGGCAAACCTAGTAGCGAGAAAAAAGAAATGAAGTAGAGACAGATGATCTACTTGCAAAAAGTAAAACTATTGCCCCCATCCCGGATCGAACGAGAGACCTTGTCATAATCTTGTGATATGTTATACAAGTGACACGCGCTACCACTACGCCATAGGGGCTGGTACTATTGGTTATCCAATGATGTGAAACTATTGACTAATCTTTTTATATATATATCATTGACGGAGGTCAATCGATGTATTGGGCACCGGTTTGGTAGTTAGCGCTCAAATAGTTAGGTTATACTACTCTGGGTGATCTAATTAGGTTGTTCGTAGTTCACTCCAGATATATACAGTGCAGTCATCCCTTCATCTATCACCAGCCGCCGAGACCCCAAGGTTATCACGGTCGGATCCTATCCCGAGATGTATACAAAGTACATGACCTTTGCAGGGCGTGGATGGATCACGTGATCGGCTTTAGATAAGGGGGGCGGATGCCGAGACAACTATACGACCAGAATACTGGGCCTCCTTTGGGCGATACCGGCACCATGTAGGTACGTGCCACCGCTACGAAGCAGTAGCTAGTGAGCGGTAAGGGGGTGGAGGGTATAAATGGACTTGAACATGTAGGTATTACACTGAGAACTAATAAAGGTAGTCATCATTTCGTATTCAAAATGTCATCCGGCAAGGAGTCATATATCATCGTTGGAGCAGGCGTTTTTGGAGTCTCTACGGCCTACACCCTCATCAAGAAATATCCCAACGCCTCAGTGACCTTGGTTGATCGAGATGCCTTTGACGCCGACAGTCGTGTAGCTGCCTCGTGGGACTGGAACAAGGTAGTGCGGGCAGACTACGACGACATTGTCTACTGTGAGCTGGCGCTCGAAGCGCAGGACATCTTCAGATCTGATCCCTTGTGGAAGCCATACTTCCATGAAGCCGGCCTCATATGGACATGTCGTGATGATTATGCGCAAAGCGTCATCGAGAACTATAAACGTCTTGGGCGAAAAGCTGATATCAAAGCCGTGTCTGTCGAGGAAGCGCGCAAGTTGTACAACGGGATATTCGACGATGCCGATTATACTGGCGTCAAAGAGGTGCTTATTAACCCGACCGGTGGATGGGGAGCCGCTGGAGACTCTTTACGCGCAATCACCCGCGAAGCTCTGAGGCTGGGTGTCAAGTATGAGGTAGCCGAAGTTGCAACCTTGCTGCTGGATAAGACTGGGAATTGTTCCGGCATCCAAACAATTAAGGGAAAGACCATAAAAGCAACACACACTATTATCTGCGCTGGGGCCTATACACCAACGTTGCTCGAATACAGTGCCGTAAACAGCGGCCTACCCAATATTGCAGCCGGATTCAGGCTCACTGCAGGTGGTATCACGACAGGGATGGCGAAACTAGATGACGAGTCGCACGCAATATTTGGTTCCATGCCCGTTGCTTTTCAAGGGTATACTACTGCACAAGGTATGGGTGCTCTCCCGGATGCTTTATCTCGTATGAAACCTGACCTTGGGCACAGGTCCCTTCATCGGTTCTCTTCCGCCGACGCCAGGAGACCGTGAGATGAAGTGGTGGGGACAGACAATATTTAAAAATACCAGAGAAGTGTTACCGGGTCACTACGTGTCATCACCACCTCCAAAGCCCGACTACGCTCAGTGGGAGGTGTCTAAGAGGCTGAAGGACGACATCAAGTACGCGAATAAAGTATTCTACGGCAAGAAGACTGCACACTGGAATTTGGGGAAACACCGCATTTGCTGGTAGGTCTACTAGCTCCGTGTAAATGCATAATTGATTGACGATTGGACAGGGACGCCTTCACTACCAGCGGAGATTTCATCATCTCGCCACACTCAGCGGCGAAAGGTTTATACGTTGCGACTGGTGGCTCATTTCACGGCTACAAGTTCTTCCCCGTATTGGGGAAATACATCGTTCAGATGCTAGAGGGCCAACTATCTCCTCAATTGGCGGAGAAATGGGCCTGGGATAGACATCGTCCAGATCCTGCTCTTTCCCCAGACTGGCCTAGATTTGAAATGAAGGATTTGGTAGATCCGGTGAGGACCTCAAAGTTGTAATTGAATAAAAATTAAAAATACATTGGTCGCACTACGCGCCGCCATCTTTACGAAGTTTATTCATCCTTGTTGATGCTGTTATGTTCTGGTCACTTGACGAATACCGAGCGCATCCTAGTGAGGAATAGGCATATTTAGAGCTATATGATCACCCTAGAGTGTGTGTATCACATAACTGACCAAGGTAAGCTCGCGCCATTCAACTCAAATCTTAAAAAGGTTAGTATTTGTACAATTATCCACTGCAAAAGATCTAGCCCGGCTTGGAATGAAAGCAAAGAGTGAGGTGGCGGTTTGTTACACGGTTCATGATTGGAGGACTGGTCGGAACGTCCCAACATGGCCGTGGCCTAGACCACGGGCAGCTTCCGGAAGTGCTCCCATGTGGGCTGCGTTGGGCAGAAACATCGTGACACATGACGACCAGACCTTCCTTTTGACACGTATCTAGGTCGACATACAGAAGATGAGACCCCGCGGAAAAGCACACACGGCAGGGACTGAAGTACGTTACCGCCCCGGGCTGTTGTTCCGCTGCCGACAGTTTTAAACTTGTTTATGTGTCTCGTTTCAAAAAAGGCGGAAAAAAATACATGAATATCTTACTCCGCATTAACAATATGCCCAAAATGCGCTAGATTACTTTGGCGGTGTAATTAAGTTAGCGTGACCAACTGTGAGCCGAAAATCATGAGCAAGCTTTCTCACGATCCCGAATAGAGACGGTTGAGCTCTCGATTAGGGTTAACTTCCATAATTGCATCATGGACAAGACATATTGAATTTAATTGTTAAAATTAGTTGCTGACTTATTTGTACCAACATAAGAATATCACTCTGAGAAGATAGTCTATTGAAAAAAATTGCTAAAGCGGCTGGAATTAAGATGATGAAGCTTAATTATCCGGAGATACTCGCCGAGTATATCACGAAAATGTGTAATAATAGTGAGGATAGATAGCAATAAGAAAGAGTGCTAGCTACACGACTATCCTTAAATGTCGCTTTTCATATTTCTTTAATTAGGATAAGCGCAACTGAGACGAGTCGTCCAACAAATTTTAATCAACATCTTGTAAATTCTTTATTTGTCAAGTTTTCATTGGATGGGTTACCATAAGTTCAGTATGATCTGTATTATCATGCGGCAGGTTCAACAACACACCAGCTGAGTAGTTCCACCCGTATACATGTTGGTTCCATTTTTCTGTAATTACCGGAGTTAATGCGTGATATTGATTTCATTACAGTATCTAAAACGCTCATAATGCCTATCATAGAATCCAAGAATAAGATGACACATGAGATTAATTCTATGTTATCATAATGAACGCAAGAATCCTGTGTGTTCCAGTTTTACAATGTTCTATAAGCCGTTACACACAAAGATGGTAAGTAAGTACTTAGGTAGAGTTATTCAATGCCGATCACGTGAGCGTATCTCGGGCTATCTCTCCCGGCTAGCCCATAGGCCTTGGGAGGTCTAAGATATAGCTTTCGACCCGGTCATGTGATCGATATCTCAACCGCCTTTGAGGCCGCGTTCGTGATTTGCGGGTCCTTACAACCGCGATTAGCAAGCGATACAAGGTAGGATTAGATAGGACGAGCCATGGGGTGTATCAGCCCAACCTTGACAGTTCTGAGGCAGAGGGGCTATATACATAGGGGGCGACCTCCGTAATGTACTTTATCATCTTCCCGCCTCTATCTTCCTATACCATCATAATTTACACCCAAGTGGTTACGTGTTAGTCACCATGGCTGAGTTCTCTATCTACTACTCGCCCCAGATTCTTCTCCTCACACTATCAGCATCCTTGGTTGCTATAGCGCTTTCATACTTGTCAAGATTCTCTAGCTTACGATGGCCCCCCAAGAGTGTCTTCAAGGCAAAAGAGGAGGGAAAGAAGGCCGTGAGAGCTCTACCGGGCTCATGGTACCTTTCCCAAGAGATGTATGAGCTTGAAAGACGTGCGATTTTTTCCAAGAAATGGCTTCTTACAACACACAAAGTAAGACTCCCGAACCCAGGAGACTGGCTGCGATATCAGGTAGCCGGCTTCGATTTCGTTATCGCGAAAGATCGCACTGGTGTCATCAATGCCTTTCACAATGTTTGCAGGCACCGGGCCTTTCCAGTTGTGACAAGTGATGGAGGGAACAACAGTATCCTTGCTTGCAAGTACCACAACTGGTCTTACGCTCTCAACGGCAAGCTCACCAAAGCGCCATCATATCAAGAAATCGAGGGTTTCGACAAGAGCCAGAATAGTCTATTTCCTATTCATGTCCATATCGACACCAACGGATTTATTTGGGTGAATATGGAGGCCGCAGAGAAGCCAACAACGGCATGGGAACAAGACTACAAGGGCATCGACAAGCAGGATAGATTCAAGGCTTATAATTTCGATGACTACCAGTTTGACCACACCTGGCAAATGGAGGGCGAGTACAACTGGAAACTGCTGGGAGATAACTACAATGAGTGTTATCACTGCCCGACTACACACCCTGATATTGCCACTGTCGCCGATCTCAGCGCTTACGGTGTCGTCACGGAGAATTCCTATGTTCAACATCTCGGCAGACCGACACCTGAACAAATTGCGAAAGGTTTCAATGTGGCCGCCACATTCTACTTCCCCAACGCCTCGATGAATGTGTCGTAAGTTTTTAGCCCTCGCCGTATTAAGAGAGACTCTATCTCTGACTCATGTGTAGGCCGCACTTCTTCTTCATACAGCGATTCGTTCCCAAGAATCCCAACACGTCGATCATGTACTACGAGGTCTACCGAAACAAGAACTCATCTGACGAAGACTTCCAAGTGATCAACGATATCTACAAGCGCATCATGTCAGAGGACAAATATCTTTGCGCCAATGCACACAAGAATATCCAAGCCGGCGTGTTTGTCAATGGAGAGCTGCACCCGAGGATGGAACAGGGGCCGCTCTTCTTCCAGAAACTAGTACGCGATCTCGTCACGGCTCATCACAAGAACGAGAAGAAGGCTGGACAAGAAATCTGGCCTGCTCGACAGAGACTTCCGGGGGATGC